AGGTGGAGGATGCTTTCCAGATGGAGCAGCGGACCATCACCAAGCACCTGAACGAGATCAAGAGCGCGCTGGAGAAGGGGAAGCCAATGCAGAGGTGGGGAAGAGCAAACCTCTTTATGTATCTAAAGATTCGCAACAGGAGAAGTTCGTTTTTCAAGGGGACGCTCACGCGAGTAGCGTCGGTCTTTTCTCTTACCCATGTCCGGAGAGACGGGGTCGCCCCGCGTATCGTGGGGGCTCCGTGGATTTTTTTCCGGGGGGACGTGTTCCGTACTGCGACGGTCACCCGTACCACTGTTAGGGCATTCAAGGCTTCTTTACTGAAATGGTAAATAGAAGTAGTTATGTTGCGTTAGAGCTTGCCGAGTTTTTTGTCACCATGTATGCAAGCGCAACCCACTCGCCACGTTCCGCCAACGCCGCCTCTGATAGCAAACACCCCCGTGCGAACGCCAATCCAATGCACCACCCTTGGCTGCCAATATCCGGCAGCATCTCTCCGGCGTTCGAGTGGGCCCAGAGCGGCGACTGGGTGTACATCAACGCCAAGATGAGCCACAAGCTAGACGCCCCCGCCACGCTTAACGTTATCTCCGAGGGGGTGGAGATGGAGGAGCGGTCGCTCAAGTTCGCCGCTGCTAGAGACCACAAGAGGTTCTCTCTCGACCTTAGCCTTCACGACGCCATCGATCCGGAGGTGAGTAGTGAGAAAGAGTATATGGTGTCATGGATGATAGTGGTATGAGAGAGATGATACAAGAGAAAGGAAGTGAGATGATGTGAGTGAGAGAGCGTCATCGTGTGAGAGATGGAACCACGTTTAGAGAGAGAGGGTGTGAGTGAGAGACGGTCATACCATGAGATGGATACATGCATATATAGAAAGAGAAATAGAACGAAGGAGAGAAAGAGGATGTCGGTGAGAGAAGAAAATAAGAGAGAGAAGAAAATAAGAGAGAGAAAAAGAACGGCCGATACTAACTTCAAACGAGGCTTGGTCACCGGGTCCGAGGTGTCGAGCACTCGCCTCACAATGGGTGAAGATCGTATAGGC